TGGATTTTTTCAATTGTTTTCTCCGCTGCATTGAGCTTTCCTCGAAGCACCTGATTCTGTTTCTCAATGTTTTGGAGATCCCACTGTATCTCCTCAATAGTAGCTTTCTTTCCTTGAAGCTGGGCAGATGTTTCTTTTAATTCAGTACTCTGTGTTCCTGATGAAAGAAAACGAGAAAAAATCTCCTCTCGTCCTTCACCAAACTTCACTCCCGAGCCCTCATTGATCATTTTTATATCAGGCTGGCGTTGCTGTTTTTTTCCAGGTCTTTATTTCGTGCTTCCAGTTGTCTGCACTTTTCCACTAGTTGAAGCTTCTCTTCTTCAATTTGTTTAATTTTGTAATGTAGGTCAGATTTTTCCTTCTGACTTTCCTGTAATGTTCTTAGGACTGATAAGACACCATCCGTGGTAATTTCTCCTGGAGAGATTGGCCGCACAATTTCTCCTGGAGAGATTGGCCGCACAATTTCTCCTGGAGAGATTGGCCGGCCAGAACACAAAGGACAGGCAGCATAATCTTTTTGTCTTTGTTGGCCTTTTCGTGGAGGCATGTTGGAGCCTGTGCACAGTGACTCTGAAAAGGCTTAGAAATATTTCCAAATGGATCTCTGGTCGAACGTTTGAAGGCTGTGAACAAACTGATTAATTGCTGCTTCTGACCCCTATTTATAGACTTCAGATCAAAGGCAACATAGTCCTTGTGACATCATCACTCCGTAAGCCAATCAGATTGTCACATGACATTTTAGAATGGGGATGTTTTGTTTTAAATTGTTTTCAAATTTAACTTTAGTGTTTCTTAGTTTAAGACCAGTTGGGCCAACACTTTCAGGCTGCTCACAAGGTGCAAAATGGCGGTACCTGCTCCACGTCACGGGTTCTATTTATGGACTCACCTGGCAACTTTAGTGATGTCACTGCTGATGTCACTGTTGGTGTGACCTCATGACTCATTCATGCTATCTGAACTGTGGTGTAATTATGAGGTCACAGGGGGACGTGAATTTATTCACAAAGTTGATAGAGAGTTTGTAACTCAAAGACGCAATGATGCAGTCAAATCATTTGGAATTAAATATCTCTGTCAGTGCGCCCCAGGGTGGCAGTGGCTACAATGTAGCTTGCCGTCACCGGTGTGTGAATGGGTGGATGACTGGATGTGTAAGGTGCTTTGGGGTCCTTAGGGACTAGTAAAGCGCTATATAAATACAGGCCATTTACCATCTGTAAATTACAACATTTAGAGGGTTCTGACATCACAGTCATCTTTCTGACATCACATCCAGTCTCTCTGCTGTGATGTCAAATATCAATGCCAGACTCGCTTCTCTGTTGTGATGTTAAATATCAATGCCAGACTCGCTTCTCTGTTGTGATGTCAAATATCAAGCTGAAGTCTATGTATCACGTGTCTCTCCCATTTTGTAGAATTTGCGACCACAAAGTCTGGGTTCTTTTCTAGGTCAGCTCTTACTCGTTCTGGTAGACCTGCCAGATTCATCTCTCTGTTGTGATGTCAAATATCGATGTTTGACACAATTTCGGACCATCTGCTCAAGCCCAACAATAACAAGCATTGCCCTGGTGATTGAGGATCAGATTGTCCTCAATGACGTCTGTGATTTCCCTAATGCAGTTGCACTTTTTCTTGGACTCATCTATGCACTTAACCTGGACTATCTAAAGGACTTAAGGTACACTTTTGAAGTAATTCAAAAGGTGTTCGTGGGTCTTGGTACTCAGTGCTCTGCCTGGGGTTCATGCTTTAAAGAATAATTTGCTGAAACGGTGGGCAGAAAAGTGTTCGTGATAACAAAATCTGTTCTCATGCTGGGTTTTTTTTTAAGTAACCCAGTGCTATGATTTGACCATGATTTGGTCAATAAAGTCATCTTAAAAGTCACTGCATACACTTCAGTAATTATTTAATTTATTTCTTTTTATATTCATACTAGAAAAAAAAGCAATATCTGACTAATATTTCATATTATCAGTTCCATTGATATCGTACAGATAAAAATATTGGTAACAGCATTGTTTGTTTCTGTGGGTATGTTCTTGGTATCTTAGCAGTTCTTGTCATTACCGCTTGATTATAGTACACCTGAACTATCCAGTGCTGGCTCTGCACTTAGGATGTATCATGATTTAATAGTTAGTTAGTTTTTATTTTCATGTGCTATGAAACAAGTGTGTGTTTCACTTTACATGTTTGAACCTTAGGGGTGACACAGGACTTTGTATTGCTAGAAAAACTTAAAGAAACAGAATAAAACATTTTCCCATCGTAAAGAAAACTCCCTTAAAATATGGACAATAACAAATCTCTGTGTAAAAGAACAGTACCAAAAAAGATGTGTCACAGTTTCTGGATGATCCCCACAGAAAGTACAATTAGTATTTATGTCCCTTTTAAATTTGACCATGTAGTGACTGGCTGGATAACATTTATGTAGAATTTTAAAAGAGACTTCTTTCACCTTATTTATGTAGCCCTGTCTGCAATTATTCGGGCTTGCAGTATAAAGAAAAAGTCTACTGTTATAAAAAGTGGTTAAAATATAAATAGTTGATAAAAGGTTTAAAAATCAAATGCAAGTACAAATGTATTTCATTTACAGTTAAGAGTCCAATAAATAAAAGGGTTTCATGATTTAGAGTTCATTTTCTGTGCACACTAAATATGTTGGGGTGTAACCTAAGTTTATTTACCCATCTAATGTCAGTTATCTCAATATTGTATTGTCATTGGTTGTTGTGCTGACGAGCCAGTCAATGTCACTCTTCTCTGTTATGGGGGCGGGACGAGTGGTAACAGTTTGTGTGAATCTGTGGGAGCGGACACAGAAGCTAAGTCCGAAGAGAGAGATGTCGTAAGGCAAACGTGGTGTGGATTTTGCATCTAAGTGTATCATTGAGGTCGACTACCCGTGGTTCTGATATTACTTATATGTGATCTGCAAGAGGTAAATGAGACTGTGTGCCTTGACATTTGTACTGTAACTATTCGTTATAGTGATGCTAACTAGCGACTTGCTAATTAGCGCAGCTTACCGCGTTATGTGCTGTGATGCCATGCTGTATGTTTAGCTCTGTGATTTTCAGTCAAAGCATGCTAATGCTAAATCGTTATGTGATAGCATTTGGTATTGTTAGCTCAAGTGTTTTAATATGTTTAGAAGCCGAGGGACGCTCTGAAAGGAGAGGGAGAGAGAGGTTTCTGCCCGGATGGACCCTGCTATTTCCTCGCCCCTGACTGTTTTCTTACCCCTGAATGTCTTCACTACTGGTGAACTAACTGCTAACTGCCCGTTTCTGATTGCCCCACTAACAAACTCATTGGACTTGTGAGTACTAACTGGAACTAAAGTGCACGTATTTTGTTTATTGCTCAGTTTGAGTGAAGCGGCCATCAGTTTTAGGCCTCACCGCACCCGAACTTCGAATCAGGCCTGCAACAAGCACTGTGCTACCGGTGTAGTGTGGACAGGTTAAAGTGTGTGTGTGTGTTTGTGTGTGGGGGCCCACTGTTACAAATTTAGTTTAAATTGAGTAAGTGTTGTAGTTTTAATCAAAGTTATTATCAAAGGTTGAAATTCATCCCTTTTAAAGGTGTGAGCTGTTGTAACTGAAATAACAGTTGGCACTAAAGAAAGAGGTATTTTGTGTTGATAATCTTTTATTGAAAATCCATGTAGTCACATTTACAGTATTTTTGTTTGTTCATTTGAATTCAATTCATTTTATAAAACTAACTGTTTATTTTATTCATTTCTTTTTGTCTAAACAAATACCCGGTGAGGGATAAATTTGTGTAAAATACAGTTGTGGTGGTCCTTATTAGTTAAATTAGAGGGTATCAGGTATCATTACTAGTACCACTACGAACCCAGGCCCAGTCTCATTGTACTACATACTCTAGCTTTACCATAGCTACGTGGGACCTGGGTTACATTTACAATCAAATATTTATGGGGGACCATCCAGACTGTCTTCCACTTGATATCTGTTTGCACTATAATATAATATAATACATCATGTTGCTATTTAATGTTTTTTGTTCGTGTTGCAGCTGCTCTGTGAGCCAAGCTTTCGTTGTCTAAATTCAATGGCAATATATCTCTGTTGAACTTCTACAACTGTGCCATCAGCAGCGTTCTGACGTATGGATTTCTAGTGTGGTTCCCCAGCTGCACCAAGGCCCGATCAGCAAGCACTCCAGCGGGTGGTGAAAGAAGCTGGCAGAATTATTGGAACAAGTCTGCCAGAGATCAGTAATATCTTCCCCACTCGCTGTCTGAGGAGGGTGCACAGTATCCTGCGGGACCAACATCACCCTGCGCGCCACCTTTTCCATCTGCTGCCCTCAGGGAGAAGGTACAGGTCTATACAGGCCAGAACATCCAGACTGGCCAACAGCCTGTATCCACAGGCTGTGAGGCTCCTGAACTCTCTGCCCCCCTCTCACGGACAATAACCATATCCAACTTCTTAATAGCAATGAACTGGTCTGCATTGGTGCATCATATCTTTATTCTCTTTCCCCCTCCTGCCCCCCCCCTCTTTCTTAAATAGATAACTATCATATCTGATATCATATCTCACAGTACAATAATATTGAATGGGTTGCATTGTTGTATTTTGTCATGTTTCTCAGGTCTTTGTCTGAATTTCTACGAACATTATTGCTAAGGATTGTCTTATTGCATTGGAGTCACACTGGGTTAAATATGTACACTTGGGTTTTAAGGGGTATTTATTATTTTCTTCTTTTTTGGGGTTGTATGGAAGCCCCAAACGCAATTTCATTGTTCTTGACAATGACAATAAATAAATAAATACTAAATACTAAGGGGCGTCATTAATTCAAACCCTGATGCTATAAAAATCTGTGTATGCTTTGAGTAAGTCGAAGATCAATTGCTGTCTGCGTACAGAGTGTTCTTCCCACACGTGTGTATTCATTAAAATCATTGTTTGACCAAGATCATCTGGACCATGGTGGTTTGTACTCTCCTTCCTCAATATCTGAACCCTAACACCGATAAAAACCCTGAAAACTATACATTTCACACCTGAGCCTCAACTCTCGCGGCCCGGTACCAAACGACTCACGGACCGGTCCGAGGCCCGGGGGTTGGGGACCGCTGCTCTAGGTTATCCTCTGACAAAACTATTCACAGCTTAAAGGCTTCTAATTTTGGTAAAAAGAAAAACATCCCTCAGGATAAATAAAATTCATCTTATCTTTAAACAATTTTATGTAGGTTGTCCTAATAATTTGGCTGCTGTAACAGTGCTCTCCAAACATTTGCATCGATAAGGTTTATCTTGTTAAAAGGAAGCTGCTAATATGATCACAAATGTGCTTTCTTTTAATGGGAGATTTGAACTTGAAATGGGAATGAAAATGTGCTACACAAATATCCTTTGGCACCCAGAAAAGCTTGGACTGTCCCTGTACAGAGGTAAGAGAAACAGTTACAAATATATGGTTTATTTATGAAAGGATGGACTTCTGAGCCCTCTCTTGAGTGAAATCAGACAATTTGCTCCACTAGCATGGGGACAGCTTCAGCTTAGTAAACCAGGGCCCTATTTCAGGAAGCCGGTTTAGTGCAAACTCTGAGTAAGTATACCCTGAGTTAACGAAAACTCTGGGTTTTCGGTTTCACAAAGCGAGTTCAGATGAAGCCTGAGTGAGTTACTATGACGACACTCTCCGTGAAGCTAACCTGCCCCCTAGCAGGTTTACTTCAACTAACCCTGACCTTCTCCGCCTCTGTGTCGGGAACCTGACTGTAGGAAGTGTCAGACATGGCGTGCCCCTTCCTTGAAGAGCCAGTAGAGGTTGAAGCCCAAATTCTCTGCAGAGCTCTCCGCCGGGAGAGAGTGATTAGAGCGTGCTTAATTCATGATGTGGTGATACTTGAACTACTACTTAAATTTTACATTTATTCTCACGGTTCCCAGGCGTGATTGGCTGTATAGATGGCACTCACATTCCAATCATTGCTCCTTCAGTAAATGAAGGAGACTATGTGAACAGGAAGTCTTTCCACAGCATTAATGTACAGGTACATAGTTCCCTGTAGCATTTCAAACTAACAAATTATTTCATTATAGTAATGGATGCTAATTTGTGTTCTCTGCACTGTGAAGATCATATGTGATGCTGCCAACATTATCACAAATGTGGAAGCCAACTGCTCAGCCTCTGTGAGTGGTGGTGGTGGAGGACCCCCACCTGTTTTTCGGGCCTCCGCTTTTTTTCTAGTGGCCATAACGGGTCACATTTGAGCATACAGAGTAAGCAAATATGTACTTGTAATGTGCTCAGATAATTTCAATAAGTGCTTACAGAAAGAAAAGTAATGTAGCCTCTAACTGCAATTGATTTACATCGGACAAACAGACCAAGCACTATGGCTCATAATACAATTACACCTTACCTGTTTGGACTATATTTTTATATTTCATTTTTACTTGCTGCCAGGAACATTTGGGGCCTGTTGGGTTGCACCTGCGCTCACATCACATCATGAAAAAAAATGTATAAAATACAAAATAAAATATAATAAAATAACGTGTTAAATGGGTGGAAATCCCTAGATCAATGTTTAAATTAACACTCACGTATTGACTCTGTCGGCTATGTTTTGCCATGCATGCTCCCTTTGTTTTGCAGCTGGGGCTGTGTTACTTTTTTTCTGCAAAATTTGCACGTTATCGGCATATGCTGCCATCAGAATTTCGGCCTCAAGCGCTGTAAAATACATTGACCGCGCCTTCTTTCCCTCCTTCTCCATGGTGACTCGCTTAATCTGTGCTCCACTAATCAGGGCTTTATGTATCCTCGTGCGCGCGCTTAACTCATTCACTGCCATTGACGTCTATAGACGTCAATTGAAAACATACGTTGACTCATGGCTGGCAGTGAATGAGTTAACTTGGGGTTAAAGCAACTCCGCGTTGATTGAACTAAGTGTTATCAGCCTTTCTGAAACCGAATATTCCGAGTTGGACAGTTCGGGGTTACTCAACCCTGAGTATCGTTTTTCACTCTGAGTTTTCTAAACTGGCTTCCTGAAATAGGGCCCTGGTGGTGCTTCCATCCAGTTCAGTTTAGCTTTTTCAGGCTCCGTTTGAAATCTTTTTCCTAAAATGGAGAGGTCAGTGCATCATTTGCACACGACACCGTTTCTGCTTTCCCCGGAGAAGTAGAGGCACACTGTGATCACAGCACACATCTGGATCTTATAGTCTTTTTATTTTCAGTATTTTCATCTGAGAGAAGAGAAAACAAGCATATTTCTCAGATTCAGCATGTTTGGATGTCTATTTTCTCCCTGTTAGCATCATTTGAAAGCAGGGGCATCTGTCAGGAATAAGTCTGTGTAACGGTCTCTCTGAAGATATTCCTGTCGATGATGTTTGGGAAGGTGAAGACGTGTAATCCTGCTGAATGTAACCTGGTGATTCTTGGTGTGATGGGCTGCGGGAAGTCAGGTCTTTTAATCTTTCACTTCAACAGATGTTTAATCTTCCTTTTTAAACTGAGGGCTGACTGATTTGCTAGATTGTTTTTACTTGTAACCAAATAACTGTTTTAGCAATTCATGTTTAAGAATCACAATGTTACAACTTCAGTGAGCCTGCATGAACACCAGATCCACCAGGAAATAAAGTAAAAGATTTTCAGTAGTAAGTAGAAACAAAACATTTCAACTTTCCAGAGGAAGTTGTTTCATGAGATGGACAGTTCCATAATTCCCTGGGTGGGTTTTATTTAGCATTTTCCCTCAAACGTTCAATGTGTTTTTGTAGCAGTGGTTTTCTCATGCCCCTCACTAACCCTGGTCTCTTGAGGCTCCGTAAATTCTCTTCTGTCTTTGTTCTTGTTTTACAGCACTGACAGTAAAATTTCTCACAAAGCGCTTCATCACTGAATATGACCCCAACCTAGGTAAGAAAACAGACAGCATTGCTGGTCGATGGTGATGAAAGTGCTGTATTTAAAGTGAAATTTCCACCCAGTATATTTCCCCTTCATGCTCAAGTATTTGTATTGTGTCTTGGAAGCCAGTTTCACCATATTGTTGTTTGTGTTTTACAGTTGTAATTGTCTTCAGCCTGTTGTGTTTCCTTTTAATGTGACTTTTGTTAAGTTTCTGTGGGACACATTTTCACTCTTGAGTGCATCACCCCACCCCCATGCTGTTCTGGAGCCGATTACGTTCAGAGTTTCAAATGAAAATGGACTGAATACGTTTCATTTTCATTGATTCTTTTACTCGCAGTATGCTGTAAGTGATATTTAGCATCTCTGCTGAAGAGTCATATGTACAACCTGTGGAGCCTTAACGTTCTCACTGGGATTTGTGTGCGCAGATCTAACATTATGAATGAGAAATGACTTCGATTTGTAGATTTGTTTAAAAACAAACTTTCATATTTTAGACATTTGTACACAGTCCCAATTTTCAGAGGCTCAGAAGTAGCTGCAGAGCCAATGGTTTTGTTGTCAGGAGAGTGGCCTGGCTCCAGTCAATGAATCAGAGAGCAGCCTGGGGTTCAGTATCTTGCCCAGCGGTACATTGGCATGCAGACTGGAGCAGCCATGTATCGATCCCTAGTGGATTACCTGCTCTACCTTTTGATCTACAGCTGCCCCTAGAGAGGCGTGTTCCTCTGTCTTTCTGTGACAAACTGAGTAAATAAATGATCTAGAGTTTATAAAATATGTTGTGTTGAGCTTCTATTTGGTGGCTATTCACCGAAAGTCTTAGTAGGAGTTCCAAAGAGATGCTGGTGAGTAAAGGCGACTGCACTTTAATCACATATTGATGAATTGAGTTAAAATCCTCTGTGATGGTGTACAGAGGCAGAATTACAAACTGTATCATGGTCTAGAAGCACTTATTATTCTCTTTGACCTGGTGACAAACAAAAGCGATTTCTATATCTCCTCTTTTCTCGTGTAAGGGACAAAGTCAGACCTGAAAACAGTGACTGACATGTAATGTTTAAGCGTATGCACTTTAACATTTTAGACTTTTAACCCTCAGCTGTGATGGAACAGACTCATTTATTTCAATGAACATAATTATTTTTCTATTCTTTGTCATGAATTCATGAATTTCTGCACTTTGTTTTATCTGCAGTAGCATTGTTGCCTTTTACAACATTTTGAGGTTCTTTATAGCTCTCTAGCATTCATTCCTCTGATGATGCCAATGGCTGCACTCAGTCGGTCCCTTTTAAAGTAAAATGATGCATCAAATGCCCCTTAATATGAGTGCACTTAGAGACTGAAACAGAATGCCCGAATTAACAAAGAAGCTTGATAACCTTTATCTGGAGATACCTGTTTATCTGGAGTTTTGTCAGATTAGATAAAGCAAAGAAAGCCTGGCTATGTTGAATTTCCTTCTTTGTATAGCCCTAAGGTGCATCTGAATATGCAGATAATCCTAGAACCTTCATGCAGTGGGCTTCTTTCTTTCTTAACCTTCATTCAGACTGAAAACAACCACTGAACATGATCAAGGTTTTTTCAAAAAGCTGCAAGAAGCCTTTTCACCCCCTGTACTGTGCAAGCTGCATTTCCCACAAGCTACACAAGATTATAAAAGTTAAAAAAAAAAAATTTTCTCTGGTCCCCTCCCCAATCAGACCAGGAGTGACATGTTTAGCCGCATGTTCTCCTTAAATTGCTGGTTGTCTGAGTGGTGTCCCAGAAACGATGTGGGCTTCATAGATAATTGGCAAACCTTCTGGAGGAAACCTGGTCTTGTTAGGAGAGACGGCATCCATCCCACTTTGGATGGAGCAGCTCTCATTTCTAGAAATATGGACAAATTTATTAAACCCCCCAAAATATGACTATCCAGAGTTGGGACCAGGAAGCAGAGTTGCAGTCTGACACGCCTCTCTGCAGCTTCTCTCCTCCTGCTACCCCTCCAAAAACCCATCTCCATAGAGACTGTGTCAGCTCCCAAACAGACAAATAACAAACTAAAAACCATCAACAAACGACTTAAACATAAACAATTACAAAGAAAGAACAATACAGTATCCACATCTGAACCAAAGAGTAAAACAGTGAAATGTGGATTATTAAATATTAGGTCTCTCTCCTCCAAGTCTCTGTTAGTACATGACTTAATAATTGATCAACAAATCGATTTACTCTGCCTTACAGAAACCTGGTTGCAGCAGGATGATTATGTTAGTTTAAATGAATCAACACCCCCGAGTCATTCTAACTACCAGAAATCTCGAAGCACAGGCCGAGGGGGCGGTGTGGCAGCAATTTTTCACACCAGCCTATTAATTAATGAAAGACCAAGACAGACTTTTAATTCATTTGAAAGCCTGATGCTTAGCCTCGTCCACCCCAGCTGTGAAACTCAGAAACCAGTCTTACTTGTTATCATCTATCGTCCACCTGGGCCTGACAGAGAGTTTCTGTCTGATTTCTCAGACTTTATATCTAATTTAGTTCTGAGCTCAGATAAAATAATTATTGTGGGTGATTTTAACATCCATGTAGATGCTAAAAATGACAGCCTCAACATGGCATTTAATCTGTTATTAGACTCAATTGGCTTCACTCAAAATGTAAAAGAACCCACCCACCACTTTAATCACACTCTAGATCTTGTTTTAACATATGGCATCGAACCTGAACATTTAACAGTGTTTCTTGAAAACCCTCTCCTGTCTGATCATTTCCTGATAACATTTACATTTGCAATAATTGATTACACAGCAGTGGGGAGTAGACTTTATCAAAGTAGATGTCTTTCTGAAAGTGCTGTAACTACACTGTTAAAAAAAACCATCCTAAAACAACGGTAATATTCCGGCAGCTGGGGGGCCAAAATACGACTGTGAAATAACAGAAAATAACTCCCCATAAAAATACGGTTATTTCCAGTAATGAAAATACAATTAGTTGCGCTAATTTGACATGGGATCTCGCCTTTTTCAAGTGCTGCTAAACATTAAATCAGGAACATGTTAATGTGATTAAACAATGAAATCATCTATAAATTGGAAAAAAAAACCATCTTAAAAAAACGGTAATATTCCGGCAGCTGGGGCGCCAAAATACGACCGTAAAATAACAGAAAATAACTGTCCCATAAAAATACGGTTATTTTCAGTAATTAAAATAGAGTTTGTTGCGCTAATTTGACATGGGATTCTGCTTTTTCCAAGTGCTTTTAGGAACATTTTTACGTGATCAAACAATGAAATTACCTATAAACAAGGTCACTGAATGTGGAAATATGAAACATAATGCGTAAATGTACAGAAATATACAGTTAACAGTTGGTTTAAATAATAATTGATTGCATGCCCTGGGACAGAGGCGAGGCTGCCATATCGCACCATCGGCCCCTTTGGCCATCACTAGTAGGTGCAGAGTCTTGACCACGGACACAACAACGGAGAGTGTCTGAGCCGGGGCTCGAACCGGCAGTCTTCTGATCACAAGGCGAACTGCCAACTCTTGAGCCACGATCGCCCTAACTAGCAACGATAATAATACTTATGTGATGTAACACAAGCTTATAGGGATCATGTTATATACTTTTCCATAGCATTAGGGGCGATCGTGGCTCAAGAGTTGGGAGTTCGCCTTGTAATCGGAAGGTTGCCGGTTCGAGCCCCGGCTTGGACAGTCTCGGCCGTTGTGTCCTTGGGCGAGACACTTCACCCGTTGCCTACTGGTGGTGGTCAGAGGCCCCGGTGGCGCCAGTGTCCAGCAGCCTCGCCTCTGTCAGTGCGCCCCAGGGTGGCTGTGGCTACAATGTAGCTGCCATCACCAGTGTGTGAATGTGTGTGTGAATGGGTGAATGACTGGTTGTGTAAAGCGCTTTGGGGTCCTTAGGGACTAGTAAAGTGCTATACAAATACAGGCCATTTACATTTGAATTCAACAGTTCAATCTTTCAAATATTGGACAGATATTTGTGAAATCATGAAACATTTGTGAATGTATTTTAACAATCTAAATATGCATATGTACAGACAGATACATTTAATAATCATGACAATTATGTTGTATTACATTACAGTGATTTAACGTTAATTTACATTCACATGTGAAGTCAAAGTCTATTTACGTAACTTTAATGATATTCTAGAAGAACAGAACATTACTGTAAAATGCAGTAAAATACCTTCATATTAGGGTTTTTTCCTATGGTCGCAGCCATACCCGCGAACTTGTTGTTGTTAGTTCACATTCATTGGCCGATGCTTAGCGTCATGTTATTTATATTAACTGCAATTCCTACCTCTATATTTCTTTTTCAAAATATATAATTAGCACAGCGTGTCCGTGCAATGTTTTACATTGTGGCATGCAGAGAAATCTTAACAACGAAGCTCACAGAGAGATTGAGCTTGTTATTTAACCCCAAGCTGGTAGGGGGAGCTATTTATTGAAACACTTGCCAGTGCCTCAAGGTTCAACAACAGCACAACAGAAGTCACTCTCTACAAAACAACAGCTGTCAGTGACGCTGCACCACGGCGTAAACACAGCATTCAAGATAACAGTTAAAAGTAACGTAACCATAAACAATAAAACAAGAACATCTAAACAGCAGCACATGTCCCAAGGCATGATGGGAGACATTCCTGGATGTATTTTTACGAGCTAAATATGCATATGTACAACAAAATATATTTAACAAACAAGTAAATTGTGTTTTATTACATTTACAGTGATGTTATGTTATTTTACATTTGACATGTCAGATCACAGTCTACTTTTGTAAATGTAATGATATTCTAGAAAAACAGTACACAACTGTAAAATACACAGTAAAATAATGTGACATTACTATTTTTTGGAACAGTGTAAGTTTAAGAATATAATTCACCCACTGTTATCATCTCCAATGCCCTGTACCAACATAGAGCAGAGCAGCTATCTGAACGCTACCCCAACAGAGGTCGATTATCTTGTTAATAATTTCACCTCCTCACTACGTACGACTCTGGATACTGTAGCTCCTGTGAAAACTAAGGTCTCTAATCAGAAGTACCTGACTCCGTGGTATAATTCTCAAACACGTACTTTAAAACTGATAAATCGTAAGCTGGAGAGGAAATGGCGTGTCACAAATTTAGAGGATCATCATTTAGCCTGAAGAAATAGTTTGCTGCTTTATAAGAAAACCCTCCGCAAAGCCAGAACATCTTACTATTCATCACTGATTGAAGAAAATAAGAACAACCCCAGGTTTCTCTTCAGCTCTGTAGCCAGGCTGACAAAAAGTCAGAGCTCTTTTGAGCCAACCATCCCTTTAACGTTAACTAGTAATGACTTCATGAACTTCTTCACAAATAACATTTTTATCATTAGAGAAAAAATTACCAATAATCATCCCACAGATGTAATATTATCTACAGCTACTCTTAGTACCATTGATGTTAAGTTAGACTCTTTTTCTCCAATTGATCTTTCTGAGTTAACTTCAATAATTACTTCCTCCAAACCATCAACGTGTCTTTTAGACCCCATTCCTACAAAACTGCTCAAAGAAGTCCTGCCATTAATTAATTCTTCGATCTTAAATATGATCAACCTATCTCTAATAATCGGCTATGTACCACAGGCCTTCAAGCTGGCTGTAGTTAAACCTTTACTCAAAAAGCATCTCTAGACCCAGCAGTCTTAGCTAATTATAGGCCAATCTCCAACCTTCCTTTCATATCAAACATCCTTGAAAGAGTAGTTGTCAAACAGCTAACAGATCATCTGCAGAGGCTTGTTTGAAGAGTTTCAGTCAGGTTTCAGAGCTCATCACAGCACAGAAACAGCTTTAGTGAAGGTTACAAATGATCTTCTTATGGCCTCTGACAGTGGACTCATCTCTGTGCTTGTCCTGCTAGACCTCAGTGCAGCGTTCGATACTGTCGACCATAATATCCTATTAGAGCGATTAGAACATGCTGTAGGTATTACAGGTACTGCACTGCAGTGGTTTATATCATATCTATCTAATAGACTCCAGTTTGTGCATGTAAATGGAGAGTCCTCTTCACACACTGAGGTTAATTATGGAGTTCCACAGGATTCAGTGCTAGGACCAATTCTGTTTACATTATACATGCTTCCCTTAGGCAATATCATTAGAAGACATAGCATACATTTACACTGCTATGCAGATGACACCCAGCTCTATCTGTCCATGAAGCCAGATAACACACACCAATGAGTTAAACTGCAGGAATGTCTTAAAGACATAAAGACCTGGATGGCCGCTAACTTTCTGCTTCTTCATTCAGATCAAACTGAGGTTATTGTACTCGGCCCTGAAAATCTTAGAAATATGGTATCTAAGCAGATTCTTACTCTGGATGGCATTACCTTGGCCTCCAGTAACGCTGTGAGAAACCTTGGAATCATTTTTGACCAGGACATGTCCTTCAACGCACATATTAAACAAATATGTAAGACTGCTTTCTTCCATCTGTGCTACATCTCTAAAATTAGAAATATCCTGTCTCAGAGTGACACTGAAAAACTAGTTCATGCATTTATTACTTCCAGGCTGGACGACTGTAATTCATTATTATCAGGAAGTCCTAAAAACTCCCTGAAAAGCCTTCAGCTAATCCAAAATGCTGCAGCAAGAGTCCTGACAGGGACTAGAAAGAGAGAGCAGATTTCTCCTGTTTTGGCTTCCCTTCATTGGCTTCCTGTTAAATCCAGAATTGAATTCAAAATCCTGCTCCTCACATACAAGGTCTTAAATAATCAGGCCCCATCTTATCTTAATGACCTTGTAGTACCATATCACCCTATTAGAGCACTTCGCTCTCGCTCTGCAGGCCTACTTGTTGTTCCTAGAGTATTTAAAAGTAGAATGGGAGGGAGAGCCTTCAGTTTTCAGGCCCCTCTTCTGTGGATCCAGCTTCCAATTTGGATTCGGGAGACAGACACTATCTCTACTTTTAAGATTAGGCTTCAAACTTTCCTTTTTGCTAAAGCATATAGTTAGGGCTGGACCAGGTGATCCTGAATCCTCCCTTAGTTATGCTGCAGTAGGTGTAGGCTGCCGGGGGATTCCCATGATGCATTGAGTTTTTCCTTTCCAGTCACCTTTCTCACTCACTATGTGTTAACAGGCCTCTCTGCATTGAATCATATCTGTTATTAACCTCTGTCTCTCTTCCACAGCATGTCTTCATCCTGTCTTCCTTCTCTCACCCCAACCGGTCGCAGCAGATGGCCCCGCCCCTCCCTGAGCCTGGTTCTGTCGGAGGTTTCTTCCTGTTAAAAGGGAGTTTTTCCTTCCCACTGTCGCCAAAGTGCTGCTCATAGGGGGTCATATGATTGTTGGGTTTTTCTCTGTATCTATGAAGCGCCTTGAGGCGACTTTTGTTGTGATTTGGCGCTATATAAATAAATTGAATTGAAATTAAAGGACATATTATATTTTACACAGGCAAGGAGCACACAGGCCAATGGAGCAGAGCTATTGTTATAATTAAAATCAGAAACATTACACTGATAATATTCGGGTTCTTCTTATTTTTATTCACTGCTCCGTTACTGTGTTTACTGGAATTGTTTACTTCCTGCACAGCTATAGAAAGCCTTTGAAAAGTTAAACATGGCTGTTCTGTGTCCTTGCATATACAGAAGACGTCTACTCGTCTGAGGAGGTGGTGGACCAGCAGCCGGTCACACTGAGAGTGATGGACACCTGTGAACAGGTATGAGCCAAAATTTGGTTTTCATACAGGAAATTATTCTGTGGCCTATGTCTGGTTTTCAAAATAAAAGCCCCAGAATGGTTTGCACTTTTCCTAAATAGCTTGCAATTACTTACTGGTTCATATTAAGACGTGTCAGTGGGGTAACATTTTCAAAATAAAATCTTCTAGTTAATTTTAGAAAATTTACATGATACCTAGGATGGTGTCTGACTTGTTTTTCTTTCCTTTTTTCGATTGTCTTGTCCTGCGCTATCAGAATTATTGTCTGAATTCCAAGAAAAATGCCCAACAGATGTGTCTGTGACGGTTCTCAGTCATCCAGGTGATTGTAGTCTAAGGAGCTTGGAAAGAAAAGCCTTTGGACAACTTTAAGTTTCTTGAAGATGTTTCACTTCTCATCCGAGAAGCTTCTTCAGTTCTAGGAGCAAATGGTAGAGAAGCTTGTCTGTTAAGCCCTATGGGGAGTGCCCCTAAGAGGGTCACGGACCCCCTACTAATCCTCTACCTAATCGCACGAGCCAAGGTGTGAAAACAGGTGTGTGTCACAATCAGCCAAGGTTTCGAGTGAACCCATTGTGAAACCTGGCCCCACCCGATCATGTGACTTACTGAGGTCAGATGGCCCAGGATGTGAGTGGGCCTTAAGGCGTCTGGGAAGGGATCTCAAAACTGGATTATAGATGGCAGAGAGTTGGTGTCGTAAACCCCGCCTCTGTTCAAAGATGGTCGCTCACAGTGGACATAGATGCTTCTTTCACTCCTCTTTCAAACCATCTGTCCTCTCTGTCCAAAATGTGAACATTGGCATCCTCATAAAAAGTGACCTTTGACCTTTCGGTGTAGATGGACAGCCGAGTCTTGTCTGGTTGAGGTGGCTCTTCTATGTTGTGCCATGTGTTTATACCAATCCTCGCTGCTCTGTACAGCATACACTACGTTGTCAAGTTTGGGTTTAGGAGTTCTGTGTTTGGGATGAACCAGTTTGTGTCTGAGTGTGTGGCTGGGTCTAAAGTACACTGGGATGTTGTGCTTGGAAAAGACTCCTGAGTTTCTCTGATAAACCTGCTACATGGGAGATGATCGTTCCGCTTGTCTTTCTGATCCTCCCTAGTTGGTGTCTGATCTTCTTTTCTGTGCATCTTTGCTGATTTGGTGAAAGCCCAATTAGGCTAACCACATGTTATAAGAGCTTCCATGTTACATGTGTGTGTTCCCTCTTTTTCCCTTCTGGCTTAGTGGGAACATTTTCTGCACGGTCTTGTAAGCTGCTTGTTTAAGTGAAAATACATTGATGGGTTTTTTTGCACTAATAAAGTTGAGGAGTTGTAAAGTATTTTGTCTCGTGTCAGTTATATCGTCAGTTATATCGTTATCGCAAATTTTCAAATGTATATCGTGATAAATATTTTTGGTCATGTCGCCCTGCTCTACTTCAGATATCCAGCACCAAAACTCTGAACTGGTGGAAAGAACCAAAAGAGCCTGGATGTAATTGTCAGGTGTATTACCGTGACAGTGTGAGCAGTTGTTAGATGACGTAAAGGCCATCTTGAACATCTGTTGACCTGTATAGTGCACTCTACGTAGTATTTTGTATTGTATTAATAGTAGAGTGGGATTTCTAATCAATTTAAAGGTTTTTCAGCATATCTGACACCAGAAGTTTTGGTCTAAGCTGACTGATAGATGCACTTCCCATTTTGCAAGGGAAAAGATATCGATACATCTATTTTTGAGAGTGTCCTGTAGATATCTGACTTTCAAAATAAAAGCTTGTCTGCATACCCAAGGTATCAAAATGCCCCCCACCCGCACGTTTTTTACTTTTTATTTATTTATTTATTTATTTATTCATTTACTCTGATAAATCTGCTCAGCTTTTTATCCAACTTTTTTCCATCCAAGCTTTTGGCAGCAAAACACTGGTCAGCTCCATTAGCAGCAACATTGGACATTCATTTCTCTAGAAATTGAGATAATTAGTGCACTGTGCTGATAGCAAAATCTTTTAGTCTAGAATCTAATGACAGCTCACACAGTAATTTACAGAAAATGAAATTGAGTATGTGTGTGTGTTTGTAGGAAGGTCCAGTGAACAGTGAACGTTATCTGTCATGGGCAAACGTCTTCCTGGTGGTCTACAGCATCGATAACATGGAGAGCTTTAATGGCTGTCAGCTGTACCTGCAGACACTTGCCTCACACAACAAAACCTTCAGGCCACAAACTCCCATCATTCTTCTGGGCAACAAGAAGGACATGGACAGATACAGGCTGGTATCTGTGTGTGTGTGTGTGCGTGTGTGTGTGTGTGTGTGTGTGTGTGTGTGTGTGTGTGTGTGTGTGTGTGTGGCAGCGTGTAAATTAGTCTGTAGACCTTTTCACTGAAATTAGCCACATGAAGAAAGCTTTGTCTCAGACGTCCCTGGAGAAATGAAAAAGACACCAAAGTCCTCATTTGTAAATTTGACTACCTTTAGAACACCTTTTTGATTTACACTCATTAGACACTTAATTAGGTACAATTTGCTGGTACTTTGGTTGAACCCACTGATCATGAGACACAAACAATTAACATATGTTTAACTTCCATCTGTAATGCAGTGGACTCAACAAACCATTGTTGACGGTTAGATACTCAAAATAATTGGACAAACTAGTATAATTTAAAATAAAATTTTGGATTAAAATGCTTTGCAGTCAATGACTGCCTAAAGTCTTGACGCCACGATCATCACCGGGTGCTGAGCTCATTTACAGCAGTCACTGTTTTTTCTCTCTCTGCCTTTAGTTTCGGCTTTAGCAACTGAAAAGCTCTGTTGTGCTGAGAACGAGTGACTGAGCTGAACATTGAAAAATATGTTATTTCTTTGTCTGCACAAACTCTTGGGTTGGTGTTGGAGTGTCCTTTGGGTCATTATCCAATCGTACTGTCTGCTGTCTGATCCGTATTGTTATAAACCTTCGTTTTAATTCATGAAGACATCTGTTGGTTGCAGACTATGACAGTGATACTTGTTGTAAAGGTGTTTTTCCTAATCAGAGAAGTTTGTCCTATCAGACAGGTGCGTCAGTCGGATGGTGAGGCCTTGGCGTCTCATTTTGGATGTGTATTCTTCGAGGTGTCAGCCTGTCAAGACTTCCACTCTGTACAGCAAGTCTTCCATGAGGCAGTGAGGAGGGCGAGGAAAGGCGGTGCCTGTGGCTGCTTGGTCCCCGCCATCTGTGCCAGCGAGGACAAAGCACTTCTGGGTGTCCCATCCTTTACTACACCATGTTACAAGGAGCTGCCAGTGCCTGCCAACGCGAAGCTGATCACAGTGAAGACATCCAGAGCTCAGAGCAAACGGAGAGCTTCCACTCTCACCTTACTCAAAGGGTTTAAGATATTTTGACACATTCTACTGCATGTCCTGTGATACTGTAAGAGAGTTGTAGGTCCTTATGTAGACAGGCTTCTGAAGCAGCAAGAGCAGCTCCACCCTACAGACATTTGGCAGGTTCAATGAAAAAGCCTGAACAATCTTAACAGAGGCTTTTCTTAATATGTTGATTTTATGTTGAGGTTTTACACTGAAAAAACGGCCATGTTGGATTTACTTAACTCAATAGTGGACATTGGTTGCACACAACTGCTTTGCCTTGGCAGAAATTTAAACAACTGAGATAAATCAACACAACGTATTCATGTTCAGTAAACCTGTGCATTTTGTGTTGATAAAACGCAAGCGAAACATGTTCAGATGGAGTAAGTTGAGCTCTTGGAATATTTTAATCCTTCACAATTTTGTCATTTTATTTCAACACTGTTCAATAACTTTTACCACAGTACTACTTGGTCACTTAAATACTACATGGTGTCTTCATATTACATAATGTTCAACAAAGTCTGGTTAACATAAAAAATGAATGAATCTACAACAACTACCATCCTCCTATCTTGGTTGCAGGGGGGCATAACCCTGAAGTGATAGGGTAAGAGGCGGTGTACACCCTGGACACCAGTCTATCAAATATAGACAAACAACCACTTGCACTCACAGGTAACTTAGAATCGCCAATTAACCTAACCTAACTCTAATGACTGCATGACTTTTAACTGTGGGAAGAAACTAGAACACCCAGAGAGAAACCACTGTAAACTAGCCAAACTGTGGATTTGAACTCAGGACCTTCTTGCTGGGAGGTAACAGCACTAACCTCCATGCCACCAATCCAGGTATAACAAAAGTAGGAAAGCAATGATTTCATGGCTTGATGCAGAATCTTCTGTGCATTTTTGCCCTTGACAGGTTAAACCACAGTAAATAGCGATAGCACACACGTGGTGTGTCTGTAGATATCTGCCTCTTATAATTCCACTGATTTTCCTGCAGTTTGAAATCTCGTGTGATCTTGTGAATTTTGTGAGACCAGCAACTAACCACTCTCACTAGATTGGGAAGGACACTGTCTCAGCTGAACTCTGGACATACACATACACTGATACACACTCATCCCCCCTCCCTTTCCTTTTTTTTTTTTTTTTTGCCTGTCCCATTTGGTTCTTTAGCCATCAGAATTGTTGTCTGAAGACCAACAAGGATACCCAATGGATTTACTTTGCCAAATGGATCATCGTGGCATTGCCGTATTGGTCCATTTGGTCGATCTTTGTTTTTATTATTTATTATATTTTATTTCCAGATGTTACAGACGGGACAGACATGAGTGAGAGATAGGAAAGGGAGAAAGAAAGAGGAAGGAAAGGAAAAACAGAAGGGGAGAGGGACAGTGAGAAAGGGGGGGAGAAAAAAAATAAAAATCTCCTGGATCACCTGTTGAGAGAAGAATAGAAAACAAGCAAAAAAAGACAAAAAAAAAAGAAACAAAGCAACATACTAAACACAACACCATCGCATTAATCTAGCTAAGTGTAAACAGCAGTAAATACTAAATATTCAATGTTGTTGTGCAGCACGCAGGACAGATGTGCTTCGAAGTAGCAGCCAAGAAAGGTGTAATTTGGGTCTACGAGCAGTGAACACTTGTGTGCATACCTGTGTGGATCAGCGCGCTTGTATTCCAAAGGTTTCTCCATGTAACGATCTGCTAGGGAGTGTGGGGGGGCACAGCCCCGTCCTCCAGGGTGTGAAGCAGGTATGGAGGAGATCAAAACTCCAGACATCCAGAGGCCCCCAGAACACAAGAAACCATGGAAGACCAACAGAGGGGCAGCCGCGCCACTGTTCCAGTAAGAGCCGAGGAGAGTCCCAGATGAGGGCTCACTCAGCAGCCGCGGAGCAGAAGCCAGGGGGAGTTGCAGTGACGCGCCCGTGAGCTCCGCCGGCAGCCAGCTGTGCCTGAGTGACCGAGCCCCAGGCCGAGAGGCCGGGGGCACCCCACCCCCGAAGGGGCCCGAGCGAGCCCCAGGCTCCAGGCCCCGATAAGCGGCCGCCAAGGAGTGAGCCGGTGTGTACCTGGACGCCCACCCCCAGACACAAAGAACCATCAACGCACCGACACCTGAGGGAGTCCGCCACTGGCAGGGGAAGTGGTGGTGGGTGGAGATAGGCCTCCAAACCTTGGAGGGCCTGAGGTGTCCCCAGAGAGGTGGCGTCTGATACCCAACCTGACATATAGACACAGACATACAGGCACACACAGACACAAACATCCATTCCCCCCCTCATGCTCTCATATGCACTTACTCCACACTCAACCAACGTGGAGACAGACATAAAGAGACGCTGTACACACAATCACACTCCCCAAGCGTACTCTACAAACCGGGTCTAGGTACCCTTGCCCCTGGAGGGGGGAACTGCACCCAGACCCAGGTGGTGTTACCCTTTTCCCTGCGGTGGGGAGAGGCAGACCACCCCGACTGCGCAGCAGCAGAGAGGCCCCACACTCCAGACCGCAGTCGGACGGCCAACTCCACCTAGCCCTCCCGCTCCAGCAGGTCGCAGAGAATGGGGGTGAGAGAAGACTCCAAACCTCCCTCCACCCGCTCATTGTAGTGTTGATGCATGTGTGTTCTAAGGTGCATTTAAAACCCAGGAGGGCATGGAGCTACCTGCCAGAGAGCAGCAGGTAAGCGCATGGTCCCTCCTGCTAGCCCTCAATGTCTAAGTGTATTTAAAATTGAGAGGTGGGCAACGACGCCAGGGGTGAGGTGTACACCCTGATGGTAATTTGGACTCCGTGATTGTGCCCACCCCCAAGATCCTATATGTATGTGTAGTGAGAGTGTGAATAATGTGAATGTCTAAGTTGTGGGATAAAATTGAGGAAGAGGCAGCCAGAAGGGGACAGAGGGGGGGTAGCCTCCTCTGCACCCTGGTGACATACCCCTACTCCAAGGCCCTGCATGTGTGGGTGGTTGTGGTGCAGCGGGAAGAGAGAGGCAGCTGGAGATGGGGAGGGAAGGAAGGGAGGGGCAGGTAACCCCTCCCTGGGGCCAGCTCCCCCGCTGACCCCAGTAGGCACCCCCATCCCCCCTCCCTTTCCAAACGCCGTCGATGCTTGTTCCCTCCTAGAGAACACGGCGGGTTTGGGCCCAGCGCTGGAAGAATAGCTGCAGGGCAGGATGGCTGCTGTGTTTGCTTGGGACAACTCCTCACCCCCCACCCACCCCTGTTACTGGTCACGTGCTCCATAATGTTGTGCTGTGGACATTTATGTGCTTTCTGTGCAGAGGAGTTTTTTGTTTCCTGTTCTCATGCTGTCCTCCCAGGAGCTCAGCATGAGTAGAGGTCTCCTTTTTCCCTCTTGGACTTTCCCATTGTTTTGTATTTCAGTGTTTTTCTGTAATACTACCGGTCCCTGACCTATCTCCCCATGTGATGTCTGTGTTGTGTATGTAAGGTCGGGGGGGTCCCCATTTCACTGCAGGGCAACTTACATGTGACAAATAAAGTTCTGATTGATTGATTGATTGTTTGTATCAGGTCATCTCAACAAGAAGAAATTAAGTTGTTGAATTTCATACAGATCCTACATGATTTCCTAACGTTCAAGATAGAAACATGAAATTTTTGTGCTCAAATTACAAGGTAGACTTTTTTTTTCGGCTTGAGATGGAGGCCTTCCTCAAACCACGATCCAAAGGTGTAGCAAGATTTTATTTAATTTAGCTATATTATTGACTTACTTCACTCGAACATGATTTAATCTACTCTCTCTGCATATCATGTAGTTTCTACATGACACAGTTACACTTAACTTTAAAGCATGAGGCAATTGTGTTAAATACACGCAAGATGCTTACATAAATCCAAGAGATGGCCAATCCCTTTTTTTCAGCGTAGTTTGTTTTTCTTATGACCTCCTTAATGTTGTCATATATCCACTGAAATGATGGATAAACCAAACCATTATGTCACTGAGAAAAAGACATGCATGCCTTATAAGCTTGCTCTTCCAATGTGGTGAGCAGCATGAAGGAAATTCTTTCTCTACGCTAAGTAATGTTTTCCCATATCAGAGACATTTATACGAACAATGACAAGTCCGAAAGGCCTTCAAGATCAAAGCAAGTGATTTATTGTGATGCAATAATATCTGAGGCATCAGCACAACACACAAAAGTACTCAAATCTCATTAAGTTTTTCCCATTTCAGTTCACAACACAGGATGGAGGAAGACTAGAACATTCGGTGTCTATTTGTCAGACTCCCTGTGGACAGAACCTTATTGAAAGCAACTTTACAGCCCATCAAACCAGAAATCATCATCAACACCACAAGAGGAGCCCTAGAAACTGAACCATCAGCAGGGGCAGAGCTGCCTCCTTTAGCCACCCCAAAACTAACAATGGCGAAGCCCATTGGGGGAAGCACACATAAGCAGATCTGAACTTACATCCAGAAACTGTTTTTATAGAATACCTTTACAGGGAACCATTTTTATACAACTTTTGTTCCCACGTGGACACATTTTATGAGCGCAACCACCCACTGAAACTGTAATGTAAACTGTTATGAGCTTTATTAGGAATGAATAAAAAAGAGAACTGTTTTCTGATCATTTGAGGGTTTCATAAAATTTCACTCTGAAGTCATGAAAATAAGAATAATCAGAAAATTATGATCAATTATTAAAGCAAACACTGCCACTCCCACTGCCGCTGGTATTCACTGTGACCTCTTCAGCTCATAATCTTCACTTCATCTGGAGAGTCGAGCTCAGCAGCTGTTATTTTCTCTTTCCTCTCTTCCTCCTGTTTCTCTTCCACCGCAGGATCTGGGTACAGGCAGGAGGTGTTGCCATCTTTCCATGTGACCACAATATTTCCTGCATTGCTCTGCTCACTTGTGTCACTGTTGGACATGTGAGGCTTGTTTCCCTGCAGTGGCATGTCTGATGCTGGGTGTGTGCTGTTTTCTTTGAGCAGCTCCTGATCTTCATTTTTCTGAAGCAGAGATGTTGCAGCCTTGTACTCGGCTATCTTCTTCCTGCTCCTGTTTGAGTTAGTACAGAAACCTTTAATATAATATACAGTATGTTCGCTCTCAAAAAAATAGCAGTCAAACAACTTCGGGTCATACTTATTTGCCATGGCTCCCATTCCCAGGAGAAGAAAACCAACAAGAAGGCAGACAAAGGCCAGTCCCAGCAGTACAAATGTCCATGTGGTTGCTGCAACACGAGGATAATTAAAACCTGAAAACCTCCCTGCCCTCTTTCATATGAGAATATCATATGCACACTGCAGAATCAGTAACACACACACACAAACAAGAG